GGGGGGACTAAATCATTCGACTTTCTATTGTTTGTTCTGTACTTCCCACCCCACGGTGTAAATACATGAATTTTTTTTTTTTGATAATTGAGTGAGAAACTCGATTCTAAGGTTAATTTTACTTCCCCACAAATGAAAAACCAGTAGATATACGGACCACTTTGGGGACCTTCAGGCACCAATCACGTGTTTCCTTCCCCCCCCCCCCTCTTCACAGGAGGGTTCTGCCTTAAATGGTGCAAAGGGGAGAGGAAGCTTGTTTGAGACAGAGGTAGTTATCAAAAGTTTGACTACAATGCAAATTCCTATCTACCTGTTTGTGAATGTCAGCTGAGAGCAACTCCTGAAAAGCTTTGGGGGGCCAAGGGGGTGGGGGTTGAGGAGGAAGCAAAAAGAGTCAGGGAAAGGAGGGGGAGGAAGATGGAGGAAAAAAGGGGTGAGAGCAAAGAATAACTGGAGAGCAATTCAAACAAGAATAAAATCACACACACACACACACACACACACACACACAGAGGAGAAAAATTCTCTCCCACCTCAGGTCTGAACAACATACTTCTTTATTGGAGGTTCATTGTCAATCAATTAGCCCAGGCAGCAGGGGTCTGTGGGGTGGGGGGCACCCAGGGAAACAATAGGCTGCCCTGTTGTATTACTATTTAATCACTTTTGCTAAATAAATAGAGCAGCCCCCGAGGTGCTGTCATGTCAAGGGAATTTATAACAAAAAAGAAAAAAAAAGAAAAAGAAAACTTCATTTTTCACTGGTCATTCCTTTTTTCCCTTCAGGACAAGAGACGGTTATTACTGTAGCCTTAAGTTCCATCTTTGTGTTTCTTGCCTTTGATTCCCACTCGGACCCTGCCACTTTCTGGCACTAATTTGTCAGATTGAACAAAGAGAGGATTTGTACCTCCTGTAAGGTCTCAATTAGGAATGGCTTCTGCTGCATTATGTGCCATTCAGAGGAGACACAATGCTGGTAATTACAGGAATTTGCACTAAATGGCTGAAGAATTCACAGCAAAACTTCCCCCACCCCTTGGGTTTACCCCTCCCAAGGACTGGGGTAGGGGGTGGAGGAAGGAAAGCCGAAAGCTCTTGGGGCCCCAAAGATGCAATTACCAACAGCAATCCCTACAGGTTAAACAGCAGCCAGAGGAGTAAACCGGTGGAAACTGACCAAGCAAGGCCGGGGACCCCTTCACGGGCTGCCGGCCTGGCTGTCTCTTCTGCTAACATTTTCCGCGTTGGTTCAGAATCATTTGCTCAGTGCTACTGCGCGCCATGTGATCTCACCAAGTGAAGAGTTCTGTGCGTCTTGGGGCACCTCCAAACAAGATCCCCAGCCCTTTATTATAGTTCTCAATTGCTAGATAGTTGGTCGTTGGGAATTACAGAAAAACATCTGTGTGCCAGTGCCAAGCAAACCCTGTCTGAATCAGAGGGAAAGAGTTCTGTGCACAGGTCTTAATTCCTGAAGGAAATAGGGCTGTTGCCTTAAAATCTAATTTACAACAGAGCTTTGTGAACAACCTAATTCAGGACCACAAATAAAAACTTGATGTATTATTTTATAAACCATAGAGTCATTGGTTTTTAGCATTCACGTTTTAAGGCCACACATTCCCCACTGCTGAACATAAATCTGAATCCCCAGTAGTAACTTCACCAAAGAACTAGAACCTCATTTTCTGCTAGAGGTGTTTCTGAAAAGCTGAACACCAAAAGCATCCCTGAATTAACTGCTTCTAAGAGCCACTGTCATCTTACACGCTTCTGCTCAAGACTTTCTGTGACCAGGGTCAAACATTAAGTTCCACCTTACCAAACTTCCAGTTTCTTAGTTACCCAAAAATACATGAATGTCTGCCATTTCCTAGTTCTGCCACTCGGCACATCCCACCCAATGGGCGGGCCTTGTCTCTAGCTCTGGTCACAGTTGCTATTTGGCACTTGTGATAGGATTGCTTGATTAATATTTGTCTTCCCTCATAGACCGAAAATTCCAGGAGCGCAGAGCTGTGGCTACTTACTGGCAACACTGCTCTGTCCAGGTGTACCCCGAGTTTCTGGTGCGTGATCAGGAACTCAGCAGGCAAGGAAAGAGAGAACGGGCGAAAGTACTCAACCTGTCAGGCAGAAGAACCCAGCTGCGTAAAGGCCTTGTAATCGGGGATGATTAAGAGAGGTTCCAGAGAAGCATGAAGACCACCACCCTGGCCACAGGCTTCCTAAGCAAGGGGTAGCATGGAACTGGGGAGAAAGTTCCATGGAACAAATCACATATCATCAAACAGGACTATAAAAAGTCCAAGCAAATGTTAAGACATATGCAGTTATGCGAAGCATGTATTTTCAAAACCATAACCGCAGGCATTTTGGGGACAGTCATGTCCCATTTCTTCTTAGGGTCTCTCTGAGTTTCAAAGACAGGCGATAGAAAATTCTGCACCAACAGAAAGAATTTAGTGAAATAAAGCCAACTGCAGTGTTTTGTAAATTTAGAAGGCAGCTTTGTGGCCCCCCTAAATAGCAACTGAATGACGTCATACTAAAGAGCTACTGGGTGCTATCTTCCAGTTTTAAAGTGACTCAGCAAAAATAAAGCGGGAGGGGGCATGAAGTGAGGATTAAAAAATGTGTAGTCTGAAAAGGCTCAATCACAGCATGAGATACTGTGAACTGGCTTCTCCATACGCAATACAAAAAGCCAAGATTCAACCAAAAGCAACTTACTGGATGCTTCTGGAGTTTGGGAAGATTCAACCAGCTACGCCACCACCAGTGTTGTCACTGTATGTGTGTTCTTAGGAGGATGAAAAGTTAAAAGACTTACGGCCTCAACAAAGCAGCAGCTGGCTTAGATGAACTGTGTTTGTGAGAAATACAGATCAATTTTTAAAGCCCCATCTGTTATAATCATCTTTGATGTTATAAACAGTCTCCCGAGTGATTTTTTAAACACTCGGAGGTTTGCCTAACAAGTTTTTGCCTTTTTCTTTTGAGACTCTGCCCCCTACAGGAGACACGTATTCCAAACTGATGCAAGAAACAGTGTGCCCTGCAAGGGCGATTCCAGAAACCCTGGTCGAACCCTGGCTATCCAGCATCTTCGAATGGAACAGAGAATAATCAGATTAAAATGGTCTACTTTGGAATTTGCCACACTACACAAATTAGGGTTGACTTCTCACTGAAAAGACCCCCCCTGAACCCCAAAGCAGAACAGAGCAGTTTTATACTGGAGTACTGGTTTTCACCCTTTCACACCTGCAGGCAGTCACCAGTCCAACAGCTGAAAAACCACTGATTTAGAAAACTGTATCTCCATGGGAATCCATATGGTCCCTGGGGCCCCCCAGGATATGTCAATGGGGCCCCATGTGTGTAAACAGGGGTGGGTCGGGACCCAGTAGGTAGGGGCCAGTAGGTAGGATGGAGTGGTCACGGTAAGGGAACATGGGGGTCCCTGGTTGGAAAAGGGATGAGAAACCTGCTTTAGACTACATTGGTCTTCTGGCTTCCCTAATTTGAACATCTGCAACCTCATCTTCAATACGTAGGGAGGGAACCCCAATACTGGCAGGGCAGGGAGGTATCATGAAACCTGGAGGAAACGCCGAAAGTTTCTTCCCTGCCCATCCTGTAATCCTTCTTGCACAGTGCCATCATTAGCTTCCTCTGCCCTCCCTCCTACCTGGCTGTCTTGAACTGCTACCCCTGCAGTGCACACTCAAGCAGGAAGCAGGCTCATGAGAGGAAGGACCTGTGTCAGTGACAGTCCCTGTAAACACCCGAGACTTCCCTTCCCTCTTTTACTGGAAAGCATCCAGATTAAGTTACTGTAGTCACTACCTTGAGTGATTCTCCCTGATTCCAACAACACAACAGACTTATTGACCCCATCAGCAATCTAAAGCCACAGAGATGTGTCATCATTCCCGACTGTCCACAGAGTAAGCACTTAGTGACTGCTGAATGCCTGAACTTTGACATATGCTCATGAGACACTGAAACATCAATAAGTTCTAAAAACTGCAGGGTGGAGCAATAGTATAGCAGGTAGTGCCTTTGCCTTGCATGCAGCCAACCTGGGTTTGATCCCTGGCTCCCATATGGTCCCTTGAGCCTGCGAGGATTCCAGGACTGATCCCTGAGTGCAGGGCCAGGAGAAAACCCTTGGCACCACTGGGTGTGTTTCCAATATATCGTGCTAACTTCAGAGTCTCCCTTTAAAAACATTTTCCAGAAGCTGGATAGATAGTACAGGAAATAAGGTATTTCACCTTATATAGAGATGACTCAAATTTGATCCCTGTCATTTCATATGCCCTCCCCACCCCCTGTCCCCGAACATTGCCATGAGTGATGCCTGAGCACAGAGCCAGGAGTAAGCCCTAAGCACTGCCACATATGGCCAACTCACCCCACACCCAAAATAAAAAGAAAGAATAACACATGACTAGCCATGACTTCTACTTTTCACCTCTCATAGACATTTCCGGAGCTCAAGATGCCCCTTATTGGCACAGGGTTCCCAGGACCCACCATCTACTAAGTCATCCTCAGCCCTGCCCAGGGCCCCCTTCAGAGGTCCTAGACATGTCCCCATCCAGGTTAGACACTGATTGGGGACATTCCCCTTGTCTGGGGAGAATTGGCTATCAGTTTGGGGCCTGATGCCTCTCAGGGACACTCATTGGCCTGATGTCAGGAGGTAGAGGCCCTGATGCCAGAGCAGACCTGGAAGACAGGGAGGCATTCCGATGCCACTCGGGGGCTGCTCCCAGCACCATCCACGCCCCCATATGGGGCACTCTCTGAAGGAGAAGTCCCGCTTGCCGGGGGGACGCCCGGCGCCTACCACTGCTGGCTCACACTTCAGCACTGGTGAACAACTAAGGAGATGCAGCTGTGACTGGTGGGCTGAGAGGATGATTGACATGACTCCAGGAACTGACCTTTCCTGAGCCTCAGGCTGAAATCTGGCCTCTTACCTGCACATTTGAAGCTCTGAGCTGTGAGTCCTCGCTCCAGAGACAACGTCGTCAGGATGCTCAGGAAGCTGGAGGTGACCGACTGGCGTTTGTGCTTCTTGAGCTCCTGGCCACCCGGCTGGTCCTGGGGCTTGTTCCGTAGCATCACGGGCAGGCTCTGCTCTGAGCTCCGCGCCAGGCTGGCCACCGTCTTCAGGGCATCCATCCACTCCTGGGCCCGCTGCCGGGTCTCAGCGCGCAGGCGGAGCACATCTTGGGGGAAGATGACTTGGAAGCAAGAGTCGCAGTCGTCCAGGTTGTCGACCTGGACGGCCAGACACACGTCCACGTTGTAGCTGAGGAGGGGGTCCTCATCCAGTTTGCCCGGCTGAAAGGCCAGAAGGTATGCCTGGCTCAGTACAAACGTAAATGCCTTCCAGTTGTTCTGGAGGGTCAGCCTGTAGAGGGTCCCCGATTTGAGAATGTTTTGGTACCGTCGGGAACTATCCACAACAGGAGACGGCGGCAGCAACTCGCTGGGGTTCTTCTGTAAACAGTGGTTCTGTGGACAGTCGACGTGATGACCCAGGCCTGCCACAGGGGCCAGCTCCTCCCGCCGCCCCGGGTACCCGGGCATGGCGGCATGCACAGCTTCCCAGAGCTTCTGCCCCCAGTCCAGAGCCTCCCACGGGGACTCTGCCTTCAGCTGCAGTTGTGTGTTGTCATACAAAACTGTGTCCACCAGCCTGGCCTCGAGATTGCCCAGGACAGATATGCTCTGGAAGTGGGAGAGCAGGTAGGTGGCATAGGGCATTGGATTTCCACTGCCATCGAGGCTGTAGAAGCACAGGCTGTAAGGTGAGAGTTCGGCATAACAGCTCTGCCAGTAACTGTCATGGTTCTTCCGAATCTCCAGGTAACCTTTCTTCAGAATGTTCGGGAATGTCTGCTTGTGTTCTAGAAGGAGGGAGAGGGGACAGTGACAAAATAAAGAAGCAATGGATTAACTGGCTAGTACGAATGATTTTTTTTTTAATTTTAATTAAATCACTACTATGAGATGCACACTGACAAAGTTATTCATGGTTGGGTTTCAGTCACACATCCCTTCATCAGTGTACACTTCCCACCACCAACGTCCCCGATTTCCCTCCTTCCACCCCCACCACCCACCCTTACCCCTTAAAATGAATAATTTTGAAGGAGATAAAAATGCTGATGCAAGCCACCTCACAGATGGGAGCCACTATTCTTCCAGTTCAAAAGAAACACAGTCACAGAAGTCAAAGTCCAAGGCAGGGCTAAATTAACTGATCTATTTGAGGGAAATCTGGGGTCTGCAAAACTTAGCTAGGGTGGAATTATGGGGGCACAATTAAGGATGAGGGAATGGTGCCACGTTAGCACGACTTGCAGAGTGTGAGCGTGAGCGGAAAACAGGCGTTGGGATAACCGTGATGATCTATGCCAGGTGGTCCACAAAACAATGGCACTTTGCCAGGTTGATTTTGTTTTTAGGTATCATTCTACACACTACCAAATAAAGCCAGAACAAACTGCCTGCCGTTTGCCCTAACGCCCTGCTAAGGCACTTAATTTTCTGTACAAGTGCCAAACTCAGGAAGGTCTCAGGCAAGGGCAGGGCGTGAGTGTGCTTGCAACGCCCCTCCCCCCCAATCCCATGCCCACTCGAGGCCAGTTTGTGGACTTCCTGACAACCAGCTTGACTACCTAGCTCACGTTTTAGGTCTCTCATCTCTGAGCCAGACTGTGCTTGTGCTATTTCTTCTGCTCTTTTCACTGTTTCTCAGAGCTTCCCAATTACCCTTCACTGAGCTCTCCCCTCTTCCAGAAAGAGCATGTCCAGGCTCCCCTCAAACCCCACCTGCGTCATTCCAGCATTCACATAACACACGCACCATGCAGACAGCACACAGACCTTGCCAACTTCATACTCTCCTAGGTCAATTCAGATATCCCTCCCTCCATATTATTCTTCCTTCTGTGAGGTGGGTCACCCTACATGGTACTCGGGAGCTACTCCTTGCTCTGTGCTCAGGGATTGCTCCTATAGTGCTCAGGGGAATTAAAACTGTATTGGCCACATGCAAAGGCAAATGCTTTCATTCCTATACTCTCTCTCTCTCTCTCTCTCTCTCTCTCTCTCTCTCTCTCTTTCTCTTCCTCTCCCTCTCCTTCTCCCTCTCCCTCCTTCCATCCCTCTCTGGGCCATATTATTTTCCTATGATGGATGAATCAAATTCTATTAGAATTGTTTATGATCTAAATGAATAATAGGAAGAATTTTCAAGTCCACACTCTACTGGTCCGTAAACTCCACTGAAGACAAGGGAATGATCTGCTTTTTCATCCTTTAGAGAACAGACTGCAATAGCTGGCACAGAGTAGGTACTTAATAATAATTAATGTCAATAATGAAGCCGTTGGCTCTGGAGAAACAGTACAAAGGGTAGGGCTTGCCTCACATGCAGCCAAGCCAGGTTCAGTCCCCTGCATCTCACATGGTCCCTTGTGCCCCACCAGGACCGATCCCTGAGTGCAGAGTCAGGAGTAAATCCCTGAGTATCGCTGGGTGTGGCCCAAAAACCAAAACCAAAATCAAACAAAAATAAGCCAAGCACAGTGCCAGGAGAAAGTAGATAGCGTTTTCTTCCCCTCTGTTTCACAAGTGTATCTGCTCATGGCATGTTTGATCAATGATTGGCTGCAATCTACACTGGGCTAGTACTTTAGCACAAGAGGACTGTCACTTGGGAGACCCCCTGATTCTTTTATTAGCCACAGAAAGCCTTCAAACAAGAGGGAAGGCTCTTCACTGCTCGATATTTTCATTTATGAGACATTCCTCACTCTCTTCACTGACATATATTGGAGACAGTCATGAGCTAATTGTCTCATTCCCTTAAGACCACAAATCACACCCTCAATGGGTCTGATTCCTGATCTTGACTGAAAAGGCGGGGGGGGGGGGGGGGGGGGGGGGGAGGGAAAAGTAATACAGACCTAGATCTTAAAATAGCAAAGCAAATGAGAGAGCGGGAGAAACAGGGCAGGGAAAAGCCAATCTCACCTGCTTTACATCTCGGATTTTGACATTCATTAGTATTTCTGAGGTAGCTCAAAAGCCACTAATTTCTTGCAAACCACTCTTATCCCTTTGTGGAGAGAGCTAATGGAAGCCTGTTCTGGGCTGACCTTTCTTTTCTGGTAATGCAATAAGGAAGGCAGTGCTGTTGGGGACACAGTTCCTGCCTCTCCCCCTCATTTCTGTCAAGCCCGATGACAGTTCAGCTTTTTCCATAACACGACTTGTATTTCCATAATCCGCCTGGTCCCTCCAGCCCGATCTCTCCTGCGACCCAGCGGCTCAGCGCCACGTCCATGCATAAAACAAAACCCACCTCTCTCGCTGGTAGCCAGGAGACTCCGGCTCCTTTTCTTCCCCCCACCAGAGCGCTTTTTCAACAGGGATCATGAATTAGAAATTCTACTTTAATTGGGCCCAGGCCAGCGGCAGACCTGACAAACTTCACTCTTTCTGACATTCAAATTAGGGTGGAAAATTCCAGCTTAGGGGTACTGAATGAGAAGTCCTATGGGCAGGTGGGGGTGGGGGGAGTGGGGGAGTTGAAGATTGAAGAGTACCTCAAAAGTTTACTCACCTTCTTGTTGCAAACGGAATGAACACTAGGCTGTGTTTTAGCATTTTTCAGTTCTTGTTGTTGTTTTTTTTTTCTTTTTAATGATATGTTAAATTAAGGTAGAAAAAAAGTGATGCTAATCATAGGAAATCATCATACTTGCAGGGTATAACTTATAATATAATTTCTTGAAAAAGAAGAATCAAGAATCAATGGGGTTGTATATTCTTCCCTGGAGGGATTACTTGTATCAGAACTTATGTTTTATATTATATATATTTGGTTTGGGGGCCATACCCAGCCATGCTCAAGACTTACTCCTGGGTCTGTGCTTACTTGGATCTTACCTGGTAGAGCTCAGGGGACCATAACTGGTGTCTGAGGTAGGGGACTGAACCAGAGTGGGCCACATGCAAGACCTGGGTCTTAACCCTTATACTATCTCCTTTTCACTATTTTGTGTTTTAATATTTTGTCCTTTTCAATATTTTTGTGAGCTTTCTAAATTATCTTTGATTACAGGGAATTGGATCACTATATTTCTTTTGCTTTTTTTGGAGGGAGTTCACAATCAGTGATGATGAGGACTTACTCCTGGCTCTGCACTCAGGAATCACTCCTGATTGGCTCAGTGACCATATTGGGGTTCAAGGGATTGACACAGGTGGGCTGCATGCAAGCCAAGTGCCACGCCTGTTTTACTATTGCTCCAACCCCTATGATTTCTTTTTATATCTCTAACAATAGCTACTTTCTGTGGGACCAGAAGTTTATCTTAAAAATATTTTTGCTATTGACTGACAGCAAATCAGAAGTTGTATTTTTCAAATCTAAGCTTTCATTTACTATGGTTGGACTTTTATTTCCACAGACTATATCAACTCAATCAATTGACCATATATATTATTGTGAAGCATTCAACTTCACAAATGAACAATATGTGTCTTTACTAATATCACAAATAATTCAGATGGAACAACTTAAAAATACATTACTTTTTCCCGAAAACTACAGCTAAAATAAAATTGTACCTATGAATTTCCTTCTAAAGTCACAAGAGAGTTTCTTGTGAAAAAGGGTTTGGGGAAGCTACTCTGTCTCCCAGTGCTTTCCACTCTAGCTGCTAGAACAACTGCTCAGTTCCTCCCCAGTGAAGAAATTTTGCTTGATCATCCTAAAGTACTCAGTGCTGCGGTTTAAGGGTGACAATGACTACAGACTGAAGAGGAACAATATTTCCCCCCATCAAGCACCTGATTTGCTTCTATACCACCAAACCACCAAACAGTTCCTCTTTCCCTGGTCAGTTCCTCTATCTGTTCCCAAATAAAAGTTTCCAGGGGCCAGAGAGATAGGACAGTGAGTAGGGTGCTTTCCTTGCACACAGAAAACCTGGATTTGGTCCCCAGCATTCCATATGGTTCCCCCACATCCCGACACCTGCACCCACAGCATCGCCAGTGTCTAAATAGACTTAAAAAACAAGACTCATCTCTACTATGTCTACAAGAGATTTAAATCAGATCCAAAGACAGACTCACAGTGAAAGGCTAGAGGAAGGCATTTTAAGCCAACCAAGAAATAGAGAGAGACTGTTATCCTCACATTAGATAAAGTGGGCTTTCAGTTCAAACAGTCAATAAAAGACAAATATGGATACTATGTAATAATTGATGGGTACATACAAAAAGAATGCATAACTGTCATTAGTACTTACGCATCAAAAAAAGGTGAACCTAAATACATAAAACAAGAAGTCTAAAAGGAGTAGGACGTTGACAGCAGCACAACAATGATAGGGAACTTAAACATAATCACTCAGGGCAATGAACCATTATTCAGAAGGAAAACCAACAAGGAAATAATGGTGTTAGATGAATTTAATAGGTGTACACAGAAATTCATTGGATGAATTTTATAAACAAACTTCTGAATCCAAAAGAACCAACTACATCTTCTTCTCAAGGGTACAAGGAGTACTCTCATATATAGGACCAGACATTATAACACACACAAAAAAGCCTCAATACATTCATAAAGACTGGAATCATACCACGCATGCTTTACAATCACAATGTTATAGCACTGTAGCACTGTCCTCACGTTGTTCATCGATTTGCTCCAGCAGGCACCAGTAACATCTCACAACAAATTGTGAGACCTGTTATTACTCTGTTTGGCATATCGAATATGCCAAGGGGAGCTTGCCAGGCTTTGCCGGGCAGGCGAGATACTCTCAGTAGCTTGCCGGGCTCTCCGAGAGGGGCTGAGGAATCGAACTGAGGTCGGCCGCAC